AGATAATGGATGGATGGAGAAACTAATATACTGTCATCGAATGCAGTGGAGAAGTTTTCTTTTGTGCTGCATCCATTCATTTCTTATGAAGGATAATGATGAACAAGGTTTCAGTTATCGACTTTGCTCATTAAAATTTTGAAAAACAAAAGCTGCTGCACTTGTTGCTTTTTGATTTACAAATTTTTAAAAACATTTTCATGTGAACTTTTTGCTAAACCAGTTGAGCCGATAAAAACACAAGCTGCTCAGTTAGATATAGTTGTATTAGTTTTTGGTTTCACAAGAAAAAACACCTAAAGCACTTTGTTGCTGCTGCTATTTAATTTCGTTGTACCTTGTGTATGATGACAATAAAAGCATTCTATTCTATTCTATTCTATTCAATTCATAAACTGATCCGTATGAGCGCTCATGCATTATTAAGCTTCCAAACTTCTTCAAATCAAAATGAAAGCTTCTTATACGGTAACCAGACCGAAAGCACCACTTCTTTAAACTTTGACAAAATGTATGCAAGACACAGACGACTGAGGCGACAACATTTTATTCAACACATTGTGACTTTGGCTTTTTAAAACTTTTTTTTTTTGCGTCTTTCATGTCACAGCAGTTTTACATAAAAAATATACTGAAAAATAAAAACAATTTGAAAGGCTTCACTACTGCTGACATGCAAAGGTTGTGTACTGAGTGACCATCTCCTCCATCCCCAGACAGGTGGGTCGATATTCATTAAGCTGACACTCTGCTCTTGTCGGCCAGTACTCGATCCAGGTTCTCTCGCCGAGCACGTACTGAAACCTGGAAAGTGAAAAGAGTCGTCACGCTGGGACACAACGACAGATGGGTGAATGTGATTTGATTTGCACCCTCACGTGACATTAAACTTACGTCTGCCTTTGGTCGTCTCTGTGAATATCTCTGGACGAGCCCATGACAAGGTAGGTTCTGCCCTTTTGCAGACCTAAAGCTTCTCTGCAATGCTGATAACTGAGGAATGTGCGAAGTTTATCTGCAGGAGCGACATCCAAACTTCCTGCAATTTTCAAGAAAAGGGTAAGGCTTCTAAAGGAACAAATGTATGCTTTAGGGTTGGACACGGGGCTGCTGTATTCTCACGCGTTCCTGTAGATTTTACATCTTGTTCTTATCGAGAGCTGCTGACATGAAAATACCATTCTCTTATATGTCATTCAAAATTAGGCTTCAGCCAGCAGACAAAATCTACCTTTAAACGTTGTCAAATCGACATCTTGTTTGTTTAGTCTGTACAAAAAGTGCAAAGATGAATATTTGGGATTTTATGTAGGATTATGTGCCAGATTATTTCTCAGCTGAGAGCTTTAACTTACTGGAGTCCCATCAACAAACATCAACATTTCAACATGTTGATATTGTGTTTTGTTTTTTTATACGCTAAATATTCCATCTAAATAAACATGGATACAGACTTCTGCTTTTTATTCGTAACAAACCAACAGCATAGAGTAGTTTTATGGTGTTTTAACAGAGTTGTAGGTGAGCTGGTGTGCTCGAGCTCCAGCGAGTGACAGAGGCATTTAATAGATCTGCACATACGAAGTAGAGAAACCATTTTAAGGCAGGAGGAGATGATTTAATAGGGGGAAAAAAAAACCTCTCATCACAGAGCTTTGATACACTGAGACATATTTTAATCAGCCCCCGCGGACAAACTTGAAAAGACTTTTGGTGTTTACTCAGGACATGAAGTGAAGCAAAGTGAGCGTAAAAATATCTTTGTCACTGTATTTTTATATAAATAGCAAGAAGCTGTAAAGGAGATAAATACGTACCTTCTTTGATGACTTCCTGAACCCGTACTGAGTAACTGTCTGTTGACAAGTCGTCCATTATATCTTCCACTCGTATTTTGTACGCTGTGGACAGACACGGTGTAGATGTTAGCCCTCTTGCTTACTTATAGTCACACTCTCTTAAAAATATGAAAACAGCTCACTTATGGTTTCTTACCAAACTCAATTTTGCTGGTCTCTGTACTCTCACAAATCTTGGCCGTGCGCTCGTCGTTGCTGATTTTCCCCTTCTTCTGCATGCTGCAGTTCTCTGGAAGGACACAGGATAAATACACAGTCGATGGGTAGACGCAGCAACATCACAGTTTCAATCCAGCGTGTATGGTGAAGAGCCATTCCCCTCCAGCTGGGACCGTTGCCCCGGCATCCAACAGGATGCTGCGGATGCTTGACATCTCTGAAAGAAACCTGTGATGACAACGTTATCTATCTATCTATCTATCTTGTACCCTTTCTTTATNTATCTATCTATCTATCTATCTTGTACCCTTTCTTTATGTATGCATTTATGGAGCCCTGTGTTTATGGTTTCGTTGTCATTTGTCTTTTATTCCACTTGTTCTTTCCCTTACTTGATTGTTGGATTTTTATTTTATTGTCTTTTTTTACTCTATCTGGTGTTGTACTCATTTATTCTGAGAATCTTTTGCTGTGTTTAGACTGAGCGGCCTTCTGTTCTTCAATGCTCTTCCTGAGCAGCCTTCTTTTCATTTTCCTGTGTGTAAAGCACTTTGTGAACTCTGTTTTTAAAACGTGTTATAGAAATAATGTTATTCTTCTTATTTTGATTGCATTACTTTGTCACACTACGTCTCTACTTTTGCCTCACACAAAGGGAAAACATTAAACATGAGCTTTATTACTGAAGAAGTTATTATCCCAAAAACACCACGATGCCTCTAGATCGTAATAAATTAGACTCTTTTTTAACTTTACCTCAATAAATCATGATTTTCTACAATCAAGATCAAAGACGTTACTTCTAATAAGCGTCAAAGTTCTAATCATTTACAATTTCTGATTTACTAATGTGACATTTAGAAGCACACGACTTACTTTTACATCCTGACTGATCGACTGCACCGATCGTATTCATCACAACATCAGTATTGATCCTTCTTGTACAGCAAGTTACACTTAAATTAATGATATTACGTGTAAGAGCTGCACTCAGTTGCATTCAAAATTGCCATTTGAAGCCCATGTCTGTGAGCGGTGGATGAAAAGGTGCAGAAAATGATCCCACTCTCCATAAATGTCAGGAGATTTTGGTCTAATGCTATATATGGCAAAATTAATCTGATGATTTAACAGACAGTTCTGGATGACAGTTACATCATCCGCGATTTACCTTCAGCACATGTGCATTCTTCGCCTCTGCAGAGTCTCAGCAGCTGCCCGGCTCTCCTCTCTGGATGGTAGAATTTCACACAAGCTCTTTCTGCAACAGGAAAGACATTTTAAAAAATATATAGTTAGTGATAATTGAACCAAACTTTACATCACATACATAAAATACAACGCAGTAGGGTCTGCTTAGCTACTCTTTTACCTTCTGTCAGATCTACTGGCAGCAAATTATGAACCTCTTTGTGATACTTACGGTTATAGTATTCATAGACGGACACTGCTGCTGGTTGTAAGACGCCAACTTTCAGCTTCTGGTGGATCCTAAAAGTGATCTCCTCTGGTCGTGTGTGAGAAACCTGTTGGGGAAACATCGATTGGATATACATCAATAAATAAACACCAGTGCAGATTTTTAAAAAAAAAAAGAGACTAGAATGAAGGCCGGAGTCCCACCTTGTCCAGGTAGATGATGAGCGATCCTCTTTCTGACAGGACTTTGTTCATCTCGTATTTCGCAATGGTGCGGGCTCGTCCTTTAGCCAGCTACACACAAACACGCGTCATCAGACAACTTTTTAAAACACATCTAGTTCCTCTAAACCACATGTGGGCATCTGTGAAAGCTCCTACCAAGTCCAGGTCTTGTGTGTTAACAGTGTAGCCGGTCAGCAGGCCGATATCCAAGATCGACATGGTTGCATCGGATGTTGCGTCTTTATACCTGAACACAGAACGGACGGAGTCATTTAGAGCGCTCAGTTCTTTAGGATTTCAAATGCTGTTTTTTCTGGCAGGATGGAAGAATATAATACTTACAAAACCTCTATTCTCAGGTTGTATATCTTCTCATCCTCGTCCATTTTGACTGGAGGAACAAAGCATTAAATGTGCATGAGATTACTGGTTGTACGGATTAAAGAAAAATAGAAGAAGTAAAAGGTATTTTTAGGTCATTTAAATACAGTAAATATAGCATAAGTTCTGGTCAAACATTGTTAAAGAACAGATTTCCATTTGGAAAAATACACATTTTTTTCTTTTACAGTTTTGGTCTGGTATTTTTTTTTTATTTACTTTTAAAGTCAGCATGTAAATTTTATGCATTTTTATGAAATTTTACTCTATACCTGCAGTTTTACAAACAAGGAAATCAGTTAAATGAAAGTTCAAGTAATTATTTACCATTTAAAAAAAATCTTTAATAATCTATTTTTATTTATTTTTTCTTTCAAATATTGGCAAATTTCAATTTATTTAAAAAAGTAAAACTGTATGATTTTAAAAGAACAAATGACTATTTGTAAAACTGCAGATTTTTGATGTGGACATTATTTACAGTCTTGGCCTGTTTCTTTCTCCTTTTTTTTTTGCCATCAGTAAGTAAATTATTATTATTTTTTGCCTATGAATTATCTATTATTTAACAGAACAGGGAAAATCTTTGAAAAAGACAGCTTAAAAAAATATACATTTTTCAACCCTTAATAATTCAGTCTTTAAAATATCCACATTCTTTGAAATAATGTATAGTTTTGGTAATTTATATATATATATATATATATATAACTTTGATATCATTTAAGTACACTAAATATAGTGTAATTTTATGGCCGAACATTGCAAACACACTAACAACCATTTATTAAACAATTTTTTAGGTGAACATTATTGACAGTTTTGGCCCATTTTCTTTTCACAGTTAACATGTCAATTACAACCCTATTGACTCTTGGAGCTCTTATCTGTAATTTAACTTAACACAATGGAAAAGTTTAAACTCTAAATTGTCCCAAAACAAAACAAAACTACAAGTAAAGATGGTTTAAAATGCTCATATTTCCACTGTGGATAACCTATGTCAGCGAGATACTGCAGGAAAAGCAAATAAAATAGCAATAGAAAGGCAGACAAACAGCTCAAATGATGAGAAAAAAAGAAGAGAAAGACAGAAAGCACCAAATTACCTGGGATGAGCTCCACTGACATGTTAAACTTCTGACAGTCGCTCTTCTTTTCTGTTGGCCGAGCGTAATACAGTGACACCATCTGTCAGGTACATAAAAGTTTATTTTAATTATCGTGATAATGTTCACATATTATTAAAAAAGAAACAACCACAAAAACCCCACCTTTGATTCAAATCAATACCAAACCTGCGACTTACCGTGACCGTTGCTTCTCCCGATCCTGTGGCTGTCACCTTAACGTCCTGGTTTATGTCATTAATCTGTCAAACGTTGCGCACAAACACACATGGATTAGCAGAAGACACAAACACACACATGGCGTGTTGTGAATAAGAAGGTGTCTTCTCACTTTAGATGTTCTTGTAGCGTATTGGTTTTCGCGGTTGAAGTTGTACTTGGAAGGCTGCGACCTGCCCGGCAGCAAGATGTCCACGTTCAGATCGTACTCTGGTTCCTGGGCAGCGCTCCAGTACTCCGCTACAGCCTGGTACACCATTATAGTAGCCTGGAGAGAAAAGAAATATGTGGCATACAAAACGGTAAACAGAGGCTCAGATGAATTTTTTAAAAAATGCAAATATCTACAAGTCTGGATGGATAGGAAGTTGGGGTTACCTGCGTTGATCCGTAGCCTCCTCCCACCTTCCGCTGCAGGTTGAACCATCTCACAATACGTCCAGCATCCTCAAATTCCTTTAATAGATGGCAAAAAAAAGCATGTGTTGGATTTTTATTTTATTTATTTTTTTAATTGTAGAAAACATTGGGAGAAGTCCTGGTTTTGTTATGTTTTAAAAGATTCCCAAAAGTTTACCATAAAGTTCATACATCAGTTGTTTCTCATTGTGGCACAATCACACAACATAAAAAAAACAACAACAGAAAAAACAGCAACACATTATATCTACTGTTAGTTACACCAGAGGGCTGTACTACGAAGCCAGTGTGACATAGTCGGGCGTTCTTTGTGTAAGCCGGCTCAACAAAAACCACAGCCCCCAGCCAGAGATTAAAGGTATCATGAAGGTAGTTGTCAACTTTCTTTGTCAACTCAGACTGTCTGCTTGAGACTCATATAATGCATCACGTGACTCTTCTTCGGCACTAAATAAAGCCATCGTGTGCAGCTGCTTCAGGCAACAAGTTGTTTTAATGGAGAACAATGAGGAATATAAAAATATTGTGACGGTAAAAAGCGCTGCTACTGAAAATGGTGCAAGACAGAAAAGCTGTTAAACGTGTTCATATATTATATTTTACTGATGCAGCCGCTTATTTCCAAGTTGCACGTTAAACTTAAACTTTAAACTTCATATATTTAAACCTGATCTTGTATTGAAGTGCATTTAGGTCTGACACTGTCCCATAATGCAGGATGTTACTTTATTTTTTAGCCAAATTAAAGTGAAATTAATGTTCCTGATTGATTATTCTCTGTAATAAATACCAGTAGAATAATCCATTTTCTTATCTGTGTTCTATCAGCTGCAGTGCCAGCAGCGTAAACGGACTTGACAGCAAATCAGAACCAAACATAAAAACATATTTACGTGATTTCTGCATCACCAAGTAAATACATGTCTGGTTCCCATGGCAACGTGATGCTGTGCGCGGTACTGTAACTACACAGCTTCATTCATGTTTGCAGATAAAACACATTCCCTCAGCTGAGAATCTGCATCGCTCATAAATAATAGTCAGGAAACGATCTGGTTAAAGGGAGACGCTCTTTCCAGCCAATTTAAATCCTAAACTCTGAACATAACCTGCTCCCGACCAGGCTAGCTCCACAGCATCAGTTACCATGGTGATCTAGCAGGTAAAAAGAGAGCCATCCTCAAGACACTGAAAACTCTGACTTTAAGCTCAACATACCTGGATAACCCACTGATCTCGCTTCATAGTACAACCCTGCAGTGTTCATGTTTTCCTGTGCAGGCTAATAATCACCCCCTGAAGCATTCTGGAAAATGGCTAGTAGTGATCATTGAAACAGTCTGAACAAAACATGCCACTGACTATTATTTCCAAACCGTGAACAGATGGTTGAATGGATGATGGCTCGTTGCTTGTAAAACACTCACATAATAAGTGGAACACACTCACCTTGGCCTTGACCAGAGCCAGAAGACCGTAAGCAGTGGCCTCCAGTGTGTAAATGTGTCCCCTAGGTGTGGGCCAGTGGTTTAGCTCTGGAAAACAAATAGCTTTATATTATTTTGGAATACCTCGACTAAGCTTAATTTTGTAATACTTCTCCAATGTCTTATATTTAATCTTGCAAAAAGAGAGTATATTTATAGATCAAATGTTGTGGAAAAATACAGATTTTTTTGATGAGGACATTAAGTTTTTACAGTCAACATGTAAATGAATACGTTTTAAACTGTGATTTTACAAGATATGATCTGTAATCTAACAAAACAAGGAAACTCTGTAAAATACCTGTTGAATTATTAATAATTTAAAAAAAAATTATTTTACACTTTTTCAATCCTAAAATTATACTTTTTCCATTCAAATAATGGAAAATATTTGTAAAATAATGATTTACATTTTTTTTTAGATAATTTATATACAGTTATTATTATTATTATTATTAGTAGTAGTAGTGGTAGTAGTAGTAGTGTAACTAATCAGTGTAGTGGGAACATTATTTACGGTTTTTGCTTTTTTTTTTGCTTTTTTTTTTTAGATTTTCTTTTCTTTAGATTTTTTTTTCTAGATCTTATCTGTCATTTTTTTTTTTTTTTTTACAGTGTGGATAAGCTGTGTCAGTGAGACACTGTTGCAAAATCACACATCTTAAGCATTTTTGCATGTTCCTTGTTTCTTTCTGTCTTTACACTCTTTCATGTGCAGTGACCTAAAATCATCCCAGAGCAGCAACCTTATCGATGTGTCAGTGGAGCTAGTAGTCAGCGTTTGTGATGTAACTACTGGTGAATGTGTAATTTTATGCACTGGGAATGTTTCTGGGCAGAGACCTGGAGAAATATACTTCTTGAGGATCTCTTGGTTCAGCTTGTCCTCATTGGCCAGGGCGTAAGACGTCATGGCAACAGCGTAAGGGTTGGTGAGGCTGGGCAGGCGCTTCTCCAGGTAGGCCACTGCTTTGTCAATGCTGCCTGGCAAGCTCTGGACAGAAGGAAAAGAAAGGAAACGGAGGATGGTGATGACTCGTGATGGAAGAACAGGCGGTCAGTTTCAGTGTGAACATGAAGAGCTGTAAAATCCACTCCTGCTCTGGAATACTGGAGCGTTTCCTCTTCTTAGAGTTAATCAGAGCTAACACTGGCGTGCAGACGAGTCCTTTTCTTAGTCTGCTTTTTGTAATGTTTTCACTGTAGAAGGGCAAAACCTTCTCTTTGTCAAATTAAAGTGAAACTGCTCGAATTCCGTTGCAGATCACATGCAGCATCCAGTAAAGACGAGCCGGCTCTACATTTCAATGCAATTACATTTTTTAAATAATGAAGAAATAAATAAAAGGGAAGGGAGGAAGAGAAAACACTGTATTCAGGTGATGTACTCACATTAACAGTGCCAGCGCATATCGGACGCGACTCCTGCATGGCAATGAGGCAGAAAGCCGTCAAGGAGGCGTCTGAATCTAAACCGGCAACGTCACCCTGCACAAGCACAAATACACAAACATGTTAACATGCATCTCAGTTAACAGAATAAAGAAGTTTTTATTTGTATAAGATGACTTTCAGTGTCTTGCAATTGCTTTAATTGATTTACTTCAAGTAAGAACCAAGACATCCATATTGAGACAAATCAGTTCTATATTGTATAAACCATGCTTTTTTTTAGGCATTAAAAACGTTTTCTTCCTTTTTTTTCATGGTAACACACACACATTACACACATTATAAACCATGTTGTAACATACACAACCTAGGGATTAGTTTGTATATATATATTTGTTTTTTTTTAGTTATTTTTTTGGCCTTTCGTGCCTTTATTTGATAGGGCAGTGGAGAAGGGGGACAGGAAAGAGGGGGAGAAGAATGGAGGAAGGAAGCAAAGTGTCACAAGCCGGATTCGAACCCGCTACCACACTGCGTCGGGGACTTTCAGCCCCTGTACATGGGCCGTCAGCTCAACCAAGTGAGCTATCGCGACGCCCAAAGTTACTATATTTTTAACCCTATTCAGGACTTACATGTTGCCATATGTAGAAGGTCTTTCAGGGTCTATTGGACCCCAAGAAAGAATATGTACAAAATATTTGTTGGTATTCATTATAGACTTTTACCCTATGTTAAATACATTTTCTGACAAGTTGATGTATTTTTGGTTCCAAATGCATGACAAATGTCCCTCTTTTGATAATAATAATAATAAAAAATCTTCCAAAAAAAAACAAACAATACCTGCTATCTAAACCAAATGGCCTGGGGTCCAAAAGACCCCAAAAGTCCTGAATAGGGTTAAAAATGTTCAATTATAAATTAAACTTTTTTCAAAACCAAAATTTGAACAGAATACTTGCATTGTAATAACCCATGCAAATATATATCTAGCTTTATTTGACTAATATAATTGGCGAAAGACATGCAACTGCAACAATCCTGCATGTGTCTGAATAAGCCACTGACCAGGTTTAACTGATTCATGTCTAAAGGCAAATCAAGGTTTCTATGGCACCAAATGGGTGTAGCTCACAATTAATAATTGAGTCAAGAAGTGAAATCACTGAACTCACAATCATCTCTCCATGGATCATCCTCCCGACTTCTTTGAACATGCCGTCAGGCTGCAGCGCTTTGAGAATCAGAAATTTGACAGCGTCGCAGATGACTTCGCTTTGCACTGCCACCAGAGTGTTGGCCATGGAAAACACTTTGACAACGTAGGCCGTCAGCCTTTCAGAATAAAGGAGATGAGACAGCAGTTCAATTTCCCTAATATGCACTTAAAATGTGCCCGTGCACAGTCAGAAGTTAAAGTAGGCTGTGTGTATGAGTTCATGGATGTCTGGGTACCCTTACCAGGTGCTACCTGCATGTGTAGGCCACACAGCAAAAGAGCCGTCACCCTTGCGGTATTTCAGTTCCGCCGTGTAGCCTGGAAAAAACCAAAAGCACAAAGATTTAATTGACTCAGTGTTCATATGGCCTTCTTTTCTTACAAATGATTTAGATAACATATGAGTTATGATATCTGAACTGTAGCAACATTTATTGTAAAATGACACTAAAATCCTGTCAGCTGTGGTGGCCAGTATTTTAAAGTATTTTTACAGTGTGTCAGTTGTAATTTACTTAAATGGTTAATCAGTGTATAATAACACAGTAGAATGAGTTTATTGTTTAATGTCTTCCAATAGTAAACTGTATTTATACGGTGCTGCCGCTGTAATCAACATGAACATGCGGTTGCCTGTAAATTACAACATTTTCTTGAAAATTAAAATACAGAAACCTATAACTGCAGATATATACAATAAATAACAATGTTCAATCTTTATGACCCAGAATTGAGAACTCTGTTTAACAATTAAAAATGCAGATACCGCCAAAACACTCAGATACAAAAAACAAAGGAACAAACAAAAAAAAAAAAACAGCCAGATACATTTTTAGCAAATTGAAACTATATCCAAAGACAAACTGATGTCTAACAAATACATTTTAGAAACCAAGAAAAAGTAATCTTGCTTAATTTTAAAAAAAGAATGAAAAAGCTGACAAATGTTTTAGGGCATCAGTTTTTACCTGCTGTTCACTGGCATTCTTTTTTTCAACCAGTATTTGATTGTGTTTTTAAAAAAAAACAAAAAAACAAAAAAAAACACAACACTACTGTTAGAATTTGGCTGTATTTTAAAAGTAACTTCCTACATTATGAATACATCTGTGTGAGCCTACCGGTTTTTATGTGTTGTAAAGCTTCATTACGCTTCTGAAAGCCCACAGTTTCCCACTGGTTGGTTTTGTCCAAAAACAACGTTGCAATGACAGGCAGGGTCATGTGGATCATGTTCTGCTCTCCACAGCCGTGGGGTTGGTAGATCAAACTGCCCATTGACTTCCCGCTAATGGCGTTCTCCACCAGAATACCACCTTGATCTCGGCCTGCATGCGCACACACACGAGAAGCAACTTTTTAGAAATCAGTGGGAAGAACTTGCAAAGGTCCTCAACAACCAATTTACACCAATGTTGAGTCTAACGTGTCCCAGAACTGTCCCAAATAGAACAAAGTCTCTCACCTGTCACAGAGATTTGTGTGCTAGTAGGTGTGTTTGGAACCAAGGCGTTCCTGGGAATTCCACTGTTCAGAATTTCTTCTTGTTTACCACCTACAGTCAAAAACAAGGGTCAAGTTGGGGGATCAGTCAGTAAGAAGTAAAAACACAACATCACTAAATATTTATCATGTAGTTATTTTTAAATGGGTGAACTCACCTTTATTATTAGGCTCTAGAAGGACAGTCTGAGGAGATTTAATCAGAATGCCTTCAGGCTGGAAAAGAAAAAATACAGGAGAAACATTAGAAATCACAAGTATTTTTTTTTGCAATTTCAATATACTAGTGTGGAATGAAATACAAAATGGCTTGCTTGGTTGAACAGTATATGTTTCTTTGGCTGTTTTCTTTTATTTATGAGTAATTTTGACAAGGCTGATACTATATGAACCAAAACATTGTGACCACCACTCCCTAATATCCTGTTGACTCTACAAGATCTATGAAGGTGTCTTTGGGTGACGTGAAGCTTCCTGTAAGCTGTGAGGCCCCTCACCACTGTTAACCAGGTGCAACCCACAAGATTTCCTGTTACAGACAGTCAGACCCAGTTGTTGCTCAGTTCTTTGTATCTGCCTGTTTCTCCAGCATCCAACACATTGGTTTAAAGAACCAACTGTTCACTTTACATCCGCTATGTCCTGAACATGCTGGTATAAACTAAATAACACTCATTTTTGTTCAGGGACAATGTTTTGACTCATTGATGCGCATCTGGGGGCTGCACGGTAGCTCGGTGGTTAGCACCGTCGCCTCACAGCTAGAAAATCCCTGGTTCGTGTCCCGGTAAGGACGCCTGGGATCTTTCTGAGTGGAGTTTGCATGTTCTCCCCATGCAGCATGGGTTCTCTGGCTTCCTTCCACCGTCCAAAGACATGCTGAGGTTAATTGGTGATTCTAAATTGTCCGTACGTGTGAATGTGAGTGTGCTTGGTTGTCTGTCTCTAAGTGTAGCCCTGTGATAGACTGGTGACCTGTCCAGGGTGTCCCCTGTCTTCACCCTGAGTCAGCTGGGATAGACTCCAGCCCTCTGTGACCCTAGTGAGGATTAAGTGGTGTATAGATAATGGATGGAAACACCAACTGGCATCATAGCAAAGCATAAAAACAGTCCGTCTCTCTTACCACCACCCGCAGCACCTTAATGATTCCATCATTGAGCGATGAATCCTTAACAGCTGCCTTGACCTCAATGCTGTATTGGCCTTCCTTCATGGGAATAATAACGAAGGGTACAGATCGTGTAGTTAAGGGTCCAACTTCGACCTCCTGACGATACCGCCCACGTTTAGACGCTGCACTGCACACGTGCGCATGCTCGGTTAGATCCACGCGCACCTTAAAAACAAGTTAAAGAGGAAGATACGTGAAGAACACGAAAGTCCCGGGAAGTAGTTCAGATGCTGAAGAGATGTATTAATTGTTGTGAATATTTACAAATTAGTCCTTTCACTTTTGGCAATTTCAGATACTCTTTGTCTATAGAATACTGATCTGATTCCAGTCTTAGAAAAAAAGTACAATTAATCATGAAAACAGGATCATAATAATCAGTTTTGGTTGATTATTCAAGAATGACACATCAAGTTCGATTTTGAGAAGGCAGGTGCAACACAAATATCACACTGTGCTGTATTTGTTCTCTTCTTTTGTCACTCGGTACTGTTGTTGACTTACAGTGATGTCATCGGGGCTGTAGTTGTGGAGGATTGCCTTAATTTCCAGCTGCTCTCCACGGACAGCAGAATAAGGCAGCCGGAGATCAATGAAGAATTCCTTCCGAACAATTACTTCTAATGGCTCGCTAACACAGATTCCTTAAAGAAGAAAGACAGAAAAGAAAAACATGATGAAACAGAGAAAGAGAGAAAAAATAGTATTTGAAAAGTAAAGTGCTTAACTAAAGCACAAGACAGACTGTCGTCGCTGAATCCTCACCGTGAGTTTTTGACAGACTGATGCCGGTGAACTGCCAGGTCGTGATGGAGTCTTGCAAAGGAACAGTTTTCGTGAGTGATGTGGTTTCACTGAAACACAGAAGCAGTTCAAGAGGTGAGGGGTGGATGCTAATGGGTTAATGAATGAAACTATGTTTTTGTTGCATGTGCACAGGTCTCAGCTGACTCACCAGTTGCCTTGACGGCAAGGAGGCAGTTCAACTTCTGACCACAGCCAACTTTCAGGGAAGTTTGTGCGAGAAACAATGTCATTGCTGTCCATGTAACTTTCGTCCTCTTCCTCACCTATAGGTTTATTAAAATGTTAGCACTCTGATGGTTTCACAGCAGCCAGCATCACTATGTATAACCCCTTTGTTTCGTCTCTTACTGCGAGCCAACTGGAGATTGTCCTCCCTCCTCTCGGCTCGCTCGTTTTCCATGGTCTTGCAGCAGTTCAGGAAGGCCGTGACGCAAGACGCACCGTCCAAGATGTACTCACTGCGCCTCTCGCAGCCGTATGAAACAGGGGTGTCCCTCAAGCCATCCAGACAGCATTCTCGCTCCAGATCACCTTTATATTGATCCACTGGAAAGAAAGCAGGTTGTGGATAAGACAAGAAGAAGCATTTAAAAGAGTGCAGAGACATTAAAATTATTCTTCTAGTTAAGTCAGAAGCATAAAGAGAGAAGAGCTCCTCTAATGTGTAGCCAGGAAGACAAAAAAAGGCTGAATATGTGGTTATTGTGTGGAGCTGAGATTCTTACATAAGCTGGTTGTGACGTCCATTATAGTAGCGGCTCGTCTCCGCCTGGCAGGGGCCGGACATTTCAATTCTGGAAATGCAAAGCAGATGAGATCTTTCACAGAACCGAACCAAATTACATCTAGACTTGATTGCAGTACACAAACAGGAAAAAAAAAAAAGTGATCCATAACTGCATTTCACACCGTATTTGTTTAAACACAAAGTACATCTGTAAACAAAGGTTTACATACACTTGTAAAGACCATGTATATCCTGGCAGTCTTGAGTTTCCAATGACTCCAGTAACACTCAAATTTTCTGGGGTGGAATCATTTAAACTGAAGTGTCTTTTTTAAACACTTGTGGATTTTGGTTCTTGGATGGATTTTTTACACATCTTCTGGAATTATGACAACATCTACTGAGTCAAAAATATACATACAGCAATTCTAACATTTGGTTAATTGTCCCTTGGCCATTTTCACCTTAACAAGGTGCTTTTGGTAGCCATCTGCAAACTTCTGGTTGTATCTTTGGCATCCTCTTGACAGAATTGGTGCAGTTTAACTAAATTTATTGGCTTTCTGACACACAACAATTCTGGTAAAGTTTTTAAAAAGCCTAACAAAAGGACTGAGATCAGCTCATGTGACGCCACAGATTGGCTGTAGCACATAAAAGATCTATCAAGGATAAGTTGCATTGTCATCATCATTTCATGAGAAGAGGTTAAAAAAAACATTTAATTCCAACTTTGTGGGCAACAGTGTACTTTAGGTGATGAATCATAAAGCACCAATGCTCACTTCTCCTACCTGGTGGGATTTCACGAGTACAACATTGACGTCTAACGAATGGTTGGGTAATATTTGCTCAAGGAGCCACTCTACTCACTTGCTTACCCCAGAATTAAGCCATTATAGAGAGGGAACGCAATGGGACTGTCGTAAAGAATGTAATGTCAAGCAACGTCACCTTGTCTGTAGGCAGTCCCAGAAGCAGTGTTGGACTCAAACACCAGCCCAGCATCGTAGAAAACACTCATACTGTCCTTCCCTCCACCTGGTGTGCAGCCGGTGTCGTACTTCTCCACTATGTCCCACACCTGGAGAGCAGAACGGGCAAGGCTTAGGGATACAGGCAAATCTGAAAAACTCACAACAATGCTGATATGATGGCACAAGAAAGATGTACAAGGATGACAAACACTGCTAGTCTGCGTTAATGGATCATCCCATCTCAACTCACTGAACGCCCCACGCCTGACCATCTTTTCTTTCTTTTTATTTTTCTTTAAGTGTTATGTATTGATTGAGCTGACCATAGGAAACACAAGTTATCTATGACCCCAGTTAGTCACCTAGTCATATTTTTTCTTTTAGCCCAGTAATAATAAAATATAACTTCCACCACTTTGAGTGGTTTCACCCATCATACCTGCTCAATGTCAGATATTGACCATAAATGCAAGAAATGTAACTTTAATCAGCCTCTCAGGTTGAAAAATTAAGGTTCTATGGTGGGTGGGGAAAAAAGTGAGCAAAGTTACATCATCATGTAACTGGTTTGTATTGTTCTATCAAAGCAGGGCTGTGCCATTGAAGACCATATGTACATATCAATGAGCCTGCAGAATTTTAGGACATTAGCTACATTATTTCTCAAGTTACGGCACTTTGAACGTTGCTCCACAGATTAGCACCAGGAAAATGATGTCCCCTTCACGAATTTTTAACTCAAAAAGTAATGTAACCTATTACCGCAGAACTTTATTCAAAATTAGGGGAACTGAGGTGGAATAACCATAATCTGTATTTCTGAAATATTGAAACTTGAACATATGTGCAAGAATCCATTTCAAATATAAGATTGCCTTTTTCTGGGTGAGGCGGTGCTTGTTGTTTAGGACGTAGACGCCTTTGTCCACCGCCACCAGTCCCACTGTGGCCTGCGGATCTCCTGTGACTCTGAAGCCGAACATCTTGCGAGGCTCATAGGATGGAGCAGGTCTCATTGGTTCCAGCTTCAGCTACATGTGAAAGAGGAGGGCGATGAGTGGGACATGCAGATGTGATTGATATTTGCACGCTCCGCTACATTGGTGTTGCGTCTCTCACCGAGCCCATGCAGGCGTCTTTCACATCCACCCAAATAGAGTCTGACACCACTTCGTTGTCGCTTGGATGGTAGTAGGCGACGATGCGGAACGACGGAAGCATTTCTTTGGTGATGGGAAGAATCAGGGAAATCAGCGCTTGGCCTCTTGTCCTGTACCGCTCAGATTTCACCAGTTGACCTCTGCTTAGGATCTAGGGACACAGATTTACAGCATTATCAGCCATGAATACCAGCATGTGCCTACATACGTGCACACAGGCACAGAACATCTCTCACCAGGTATGTGATGTCAGCGTCTTGATTTTCCCGTCTGTTGAGGTGGAGGCTGATTTTCAGGTTGTCTCCTAATGCCAGCTCAGCGGTATCCACCCCTGCAAAAATAATGTGTTTCAATGAGCGCTAAAAACAGAGGTGATCTGCATTACTTTACCCCCTCATATCATCTAACACATATTTCTTACCTATGTGGATGTAATTTTTGCTTTTGGTGTTATATGGGTCAGCCCTCATGGTGGCTACTGCTTGTCTGTCAGGCGAAAGACGGGGATCGTTGGTTTTTGCCTGTGATAAAAGCACACACACGCGTAAGCACAAACATAGTTAAATGACGTAACACTTAACTAACAAATTAATATTATTTGGAGATGCTGCAGACATCAATATTGTCTAAAATTACTTAAATACAATATAAATAAAAGTCTCTCGGGGGCGTTTAGGGCCAAATTCAACTCATTTAGGGCGCCAAAGTGTTCAGAAACTAAAGATGTGGATTAATATGGACACTTACAGTGATTGACAGTGTTGCATCTGATGCTGCGGAATTGACAGTAAGCTTTGCCATGCCATTGGCTGCGGTGGCGCCATGCACCTCACCAGGATTGACCACCACTGAAACACCTTGTGCCGGAGTCTCATCAGGATTCAACACTTCAACCTGCCAGAGAATAAAAAACAACTCATAAGACAGCATCTAGCTGTCGTATCAACCACGCATCTTAAGGGCGACTAATGCTCTGAGGTTAGTTGGGATTTTGATAGTTTAATGGAACTATAGCTGCCTTGTAAATGTAAATTAGTACATTACCGCAACATCAAAGGACAGTCCTGGTTTGAAATATTTGGGAGTTCTTTTGAAGTGGATGGTATAGGGTGATGTGACAATCTGGATGCCTCTCGTCTCTGCCTCCACCATTTCACTTCCTGCGACAGGAACACAAACACACATAAACTGTTTAGCAGAGCATGGGTTACCTGTGTTCACAGACATCACTCATTGCTGTTGAATCCGTGCGATTTACACATGATCAAAAACACTCAGGGTCTCTTTCTTACCGCTCTCAGTCAGCACACTGACAGATACAAATATGGACTTCCCCACAAGTTCCAGGATGTTTTTGAAGGTGCTTGTGATGTGCTCCCTCTTCAGTGTCACCGACCCTTCGCCGTTCCTGATCTAATGCGATGAGATAAAGACATGCATCTTGAAATACTGGTACAGTCAGTGAGCAGTTGGAAGGACTTTAGTTCTTATATCAGAATTGTTTTGTCGAACCATTTCGAGGTTTAGTGTAAATATGTATTTACCGGAACTCTCTGGAGAGAGTCTGGAAGACCCTTCTTCTCCTTTCCAGATATAACCCCAAACACCACATAGGCCGTCCCATGCACTTGTTCACCAAACAGATACCTGCAGCCAAAAGAGAAACATCAGTTTAGGCCTTGCAATGATGCAAAACAGGACAATTAAAGTAGGATGTAAGAAATGTAACAACAGCCAACGTCCTTTATTTAGTCTTAAAATTAACACTACAGCCATAAAACAAAAACCTTCACATACTTGGCTTCGATGTCGACAATAAGCTGTTGGCTGTCCACGTAGAAGAAGGACTCCTTAGGTTTCAGTTTGACCTCAAAACTGGGAAGCACTGTGGAATTAAAAGATTCATTTACGTGCGTCCAATTAGGTAAAAAGGAAGTAAATGTCCCACGGGTTGAAGACAACAGGTAACTTACCATATTCTTTGACCTCGAAATCTGAAGAAAAGCTCTGCTGTGGGTTGCTGTGGAACTTCGCCACCACCTTCCACACTCCAGTACTACACACAGAAACACATATTTAAATAATAAAGCAAGCAAATGTAAAATATTTGTAAGATTTAGAAAGTGAAGGTAACATGGGAGTCAGACTTAGTCAGATTAGATAAATATATATATTATACAGAAAGTTTTACATCAAGTTGTATTTAGGTATGAGCAATGTCAGTCTATAATTTAAAGAGCTCACATCATGCAGATTTACAGGTTTATCGTTTTATTTTTGGTGTCTACTTGAGTATATTTATATGCCTTTATAGTGAAACAAAATATTATTTTCCTATATCATACATGGCAGGGGCAGCTGTTCTCACCCTCCGTTTAAAATGCCCCATTTTAGCTTCTGTCTCTAAGTTTTTCCTAAGAAAAGTCCAATCTGCTCTGACTGGTCAGCTGACCTGTACTGCAAACTCAGACATCTGAGTGTAGGATGGAGCTCTTGACAGACAGCAAGGAAGCTGTTTATTTTTTTGTCTGAGGGAAAAGGTTATGCAAATGAGTTACACAGTGACATAAATGAGTAATAGAAGAGAAGCTTTGCTGTGAAACAAGCCATTTCAGGGAAGTAAAGAGCAGCTTTTTTCTGTAGGAGAGGAACGCACTTTGGGTTTTGTAAGTTCTAACGTCTCTTATATGTACAAAAAGCAGCTTTTTTAACACATTTAAGGACGGGATCCCCACAACAAAAACACGATATGAGCTCTTTAAAACAAATAGTCAGCATTTTGGAAACCACATGAAGGATAATACACATTGTAGGCCAACAGTATGTTTTGTGATTATATTATAAAAAGACTACTTGCGAACAAGTGGCATGTAAATAAATGAAACCTATTATTGGTTATTTTACACAAAGCTATGTTTTGTTGTTTTTTTTACCTTGTTTTACTTGTTTGCACATTAAAAAAAATAGTATTTGAGCTTCAGACTGAGTTATTTGCATTACTAACCATCATCTAGCAAAACAGAACGGGGTTCAAAAGGCTCGGCCCGCAAGTTTAAGTATCCTAACACGTGGTAAAAACTGGTTGCCAGCAACAAAATCACTGAATATGTCAACATTCTGCTACACAACGATGACCAGTGAAGATAAGGTTGCACAGCTCTCTCTCCTACATACACGAGCCAGACCTCCAGTAGCTGTCCAAGATTAACCATTTAATTAACATGTTTATATTGTGCAAAATTAATCAATATTTTTAGATTTAAATTATTTAAGATATTCTTATTTAAAGTGAATTCATTTATCTGTGCTAAAATGCAGAATCCCGACAAACGAAATATACATCAATAAATAATCACAGAAGATTTCGAATTTCAAGAAATATAAAATAAAATACTCACCTAACAATTTCAGGGAGTTGGTAACCTCCAGAATGGATGCCTGCGTTCAGAGAGACTGGATCAAGTGGTAAAATGATGCCTTCAGGGGTCTGAAAATATACAACATTCAGGAACCATTAACAGTGAGCCTTGAAAGTTTGTAAATCAGTTTTGGAGACCCAGCATTTTCTAAAAGTCTTTCATTAAAAGCCCATTCAGCGCACATTAATCAATACAGTGAATGTGATCTACAGAAACATTGTGGATGTGTCTTTGTAGTTTTACTCATTTGCAAGGAAATTATTTAATGTTTAACAAGAGGCTTTGTCCTCCCCGTTAAAGATGATTATTTGAAATTACTTTGAATTCTGAGCATATCAAAAATAAAACACAATACCACAATCTCAATGGCAATAGAAGCATCTTCTTTATTTCCATCGTCTCTCTCCACAGGCTCCATGCGGGGCGTCACTGCAAACATCCTGTAATGAACTGGTAGACAGAGGAAAATCACTTTGTCGCTCACGGCTAAAGGAGGCAGAGTCTGTTTTACGAACTGTGACAAACAAATATTTGACTTTGCTGCTCCACTTCTGCTAAAAGTAGGGTTAATTTACTGTAATTTACATTTACACTTTGTATGATTGTTTTTCTCTCCCTTCGAAGGCCTCGTTAATCTAAAGGGCTCTAACCTTCATTTGTTTTGGAATTAAACATGGACTCCAGCAATTTTACGCATAGATTTGAGCTTACTAGTCGTGGAAAGTATTGCTCAGCTACAGAGAAACTAGTTTTTTAAACTGTGAGAAGGTAACTTTGAGGATTTCATAGTTATTCTCAGTTTTTGCCTGGAAGTTAAACATTTTTAAAGAAACTGTGCCTTAAAAACTTACAAAGTTTGAAAGATTTGCCATGTCGGTTAAGTCTCAGTGACGATGCTCCTGGTTCTACATTATGCCAAATATGGGATTTAGCATTTTTTAGGTATTGACGCATATGATAACTTGGCCTTTGCTCCGTCGATTTTAACCTTTCATTGATTTTTCTGTGTTTCTTTCAAGTCTCCCACCTTTGCGGAAATCCAGTGCAGTACATTGCAAACACAAGTAAAACCAAATTTCAGATTATATCCCTTTTATTCCAACTATTGTATTTATATTGCCCCTAATTTTGCAGAACGACTGGTTTGACTACAGCTGTTCTTTCTATTTAAACTGCTGCACTTTTATTGCTTTTTACTGTTTAACAAAACTACTGTTTGGATATATGTGTTTTTCATTAACTGAAACTGTTCCCTTTTGGAATTTAGGCACCCTTTTTGCATAAATTGTTGCAGTAGTTGTGTATCTTTCTATCTATCTGGATATGTTTTGTGATAAATTCTTAGAAATGAAAAGTTACCCTACAGACATTTTAACAAGAAGTGAGGTAGCACTGGACTCACCTTTGCTGTTAGGTGTGTACAGGGTCTTGTCGGTCTGGATGAAGATGTACCCAGACTGGAAGGACACCATGACGACTTTCTCCAGCAGTCGGTCAGGGAACTGAGCTTGCAGATAAACATACTGCTTCACGTTGGGATCCTTACGGAAGTCTGCAGGGGGGATCTGCAACCAGCATGAACAGACAGTGTAACAGGAGCAGGACGGGAGCGTATGATGAGCGTTTCTGGATTCTTGATGTCTTCTTGAGGTCATGGTAGAAGTAACTTGAATACTTTATTTACCGTTATTTGTCCAAACTGCTGGAAGCTATCTGCGCTCCTGAGGGTGACGCTTGCGGATGCCAGCCTTTTGGATTTGGTCGGATGGTTCATTACGCTAATATCGACCTTGATGTCTCCTCCGGTGCAGTCCTGACACTCCACAAAGATGTTTTCGGGGGTTCCCACCCGCAACAAGTTGGGGGCAGACATCACTTTCCTGCAGGTCAGTGATGACAGGGAAATGTATTGTAGTCACTGTGCAGAAAGATCTCTAAGCTGTGGCTGACTATTTACTCAAGCCATGTTTGAATAATAATGGAGTGTTTATATACATGAGTTATATGAGTGGATCACTCAGAAAAGTGCTTCCCGACCCATAAAATGATGCAAAGTGTGGTTTTAAATGATGTTAAGGGGCCATGAAGTCAGGAAAATATCCTGTATTTCATTAGAAAAAAAATGCAAAAATGAAAGACATCCCTTCCTTCTTATTTCTTTTATCATCTTCCTGGGTTTAACTTGGGAACCTTTAGGGGTTCTGACCACACAGGTCTGCATGCTAAAGTTTAAGTTTATCCACATTTTCAAAGCATATTTAAATATATCTATTTGTTTAGTTGAGTGTCGTGAGCTGCTTCCTGGAATTCACTCCCAATGGATGATCTATTGATTATCTTGATTGAGATCCAGCAATGGATCAACAACTTTTTATCATGACTCTGGACTCTGTGTGTTTGTCTGGTGTAATGCACAGCTATGCAAACAGAACTTATCTGAACCATCTTTCTGGCACCATTTGAAAAACCATTTTACCTTGACTTATGTGACACAAAACAACAAACTGGACTTCAGCTCCTGATTATGTAAAATATCAGTAAAATGACACTAACAGTAACATTAGATTGACAATACTCATGTGCTGCTGACAGATCCCCTCCAGATATGTTCAAAGATACAGAAAAATACGGTGCTTGGATTAACAATTTGCATCTTTTAATAAAATAAAAAATAAAAATCTATCGCCGATTTGAAATTCTTAAAATATCATCTGCAACTGAAAAACCTACAAATGCACAAAATCACATCATTTGCATCATCCAAGACACGGACATTGACCAAAACACATTTCTGAACTCTGCTTTCTGTGATTTGTTTCAAAGTCAGGGGGAAAAGTCAAAGTGCGGCTACTTACAATGGAGCTCCATCAGCTGGTGAAGTCAGGGCGGCTAAGGCCAGTGAGGCCAGCAGCAGCAGCAGATTCCTCGTCATCCTCCCCGATCCTGGTCTGCTGTCAGTGTAGGCTAGAGCCCTGCTGCAGCCTCCTTTTATCCACTAACCTCCAGTACCTCCTCTCCCCCGTCTCCCCCGTCTTCCCGTCAAAGTGTCTCTGTACACGCATGTAAACACAAACACACTGACACATAATTTCCCGGCAGCAGTTGAGAAACTCTCCAGCTCTGATAAATGTTATCTCCCCTCTGAGGAAAAAGGTAAACATTAGAAAATCAATAAGGTGTTTGACTAACTTCTAAACATACACTCAAATATTCTAAAAGCAGGACAACAGAAACAGAGCAGTTATTCTGCATTCATGAGCTTTTCTAAATTTGTGTTCCTTCTGTACTATTCAAGAAAATCAGAGCCACTCATAATTGTGACCCTTTTAAATCAGTATATTTATGCATAATGAGGATTATTAAACGCGCACAAACACTGTGACTGCTAGTGTGGCGAAAGTCGTGTTGAGTAACTTCTGCCTAACGTAACTGGCAGAGCTTTTGGAGTTTCATCAAGAGGGAATTTTCTACAGTAGCAATCAGACAACTGAGGTCTCGTAGTCCGAGTTTTCAATGTCTTTTATTTACTTCTTGAACTTTATTTAAATGCAAGCAGAATCTGTGAGAACATGCATTATTTTTTTAAACATTTTTGTACTTATTCATGCTATATACAAACGAGAATGTAAGAATTGAGAAGAGATGAGGTGAAATGTCTTCAAGAACCAAAAAGAGACCAGGTACCTTCTAGTGAAAAGCTCTTTGGATCTTCATATCTGACAATCTGCACAGACAAGTGCATTTCTTGTTATAAATGATTACATAATATTAAAGTCACCATTGCTGTTATGTCTTTTATTTACTTCTGCGTAAATATATATGTTTGTAGTACATGCAGATAGATAGTACTGTATATATTTTGCCCTTTCTGACCCACCTATCTGTGACTGTCCCAGTTTCACCCTCTTTACCTTCAGCAATATATTTCTTTTTTTCTAATATTTTCTCTCTCTCTCTTCTCATGACACACAAAGCACTCTCACTCACAACAATCAGGAAATCCAAATGCATCATGATACCCATGAGCCTCTCTGTACTGTTTTTGTTTGTGTGTTTGTGTACTTATCATTCACTTGTCAAACACTTTTTGCAAGGTCTTTTCCTCACTATGTGAATTCCCCTGAGATGACATGTGTTGTGATAATTGGTGCTATATAAATAAAACGAAACTGAACTGAACGGAGGTACTGTATCGCTACATTGTCTACATATGTATATTAGGACGCGTCCTGTCTCTCACCAAGAGTCAGTTGAGAAAAGCTCCAGTCCTGCGTGAGCCTCTACGGGATATAGTGAGAAAAGCTAATAGATGAATGGATGGACTGATACTGTGACATACAATTACATATACTGTAATAAAGAAATGTAACCATGTTGTCCAAATTGCAAAAATATATATATATTGCAAGTAAAAAGGGCAGTATTTTCTATTTGCATTTCGTATAATAAAGTGCTAGTTTGATATTTTGAAGAATACATGCAACTGTAGTTTAGCCAAGAGTTACTAAAGGTGTGCAGACTGATACCACTGTTACACTGTCTTTGTGTTAAGATGACCAGCTGCTTGTGTGGCTTTATATTTATTGCACAGATATGAGCATGTTCGACTCATCTAACTCAGCAAATAAAGCGAAACATTAAAATTAAAATACACGTTTCAAACAGCATGAAGTGTAACCTTATGTTTGCCATACACAAATACACATATTTAAATTATGCTGCCATTTTTTGAGACAGTTATTTTGCTTTTCATCCACTAATTCTTTTTACCAATCCGTATTCAAAGTCATATTTAGAAGATTTTGTGAACGTCCACATATTCACCAGTCTCCTAGCTTTACATTTTGTTGCATTTTAACAGGTCATTTCACGCCTTTCCTTTTAGGATAACTTTGATTTCTTACACTTTCACACAGCAAATATGCTTGAGAATTAAATTCAGTCCCTCAAAAGCTTTACTTCCTTTTCATTTGCCGTAAACTTTTTATCTAGATGACTCATTCTTACTTTCTTTTTAGCGTCTGATAAGACCAGGTTCAGCCCGGAGCAGTCAGACGACGTCTTTGTTCTGCACATCAGGACTCCTGCTATTTGCACACAAACAACGTTTGTTTTATAAGTAATATTGAAAGAGCACAAAGGCAGCTTGTCCTGCACTGACAGATTTCTAAGCCTGCACAAGGCCTTCAGTCTGTAATTATTAAACCTGACCCTTCCTGATATCAGACTGATTGATGATTTGTGCTTGTCAAAGCAAACAACACCAATCCAAGTGCTGCATACCACCAAGACACAAATTTAATAAAAAGGTGGTGAAACAACAAATACGTTAAATGTTAAAAACAAAAAAAAGGAACTTAAACAATGTAGTGGAGAAAGAGGAAGAAATGTAAGCAGCCGTTTCTGATTGGCGCAGACTGGACACGTGACCGGGTTCATTAGCATATCGGACCGGCAGGTGAGCGTGGGAAGAAGAAAATAGTTTCAGATATGCAGCCCGCACGTCGACACCTGGTTACCGGATCACGATTTATGCTGGTTTCTCGGAGTGTGTCGCTTTAAACCGGGAGTCACCGGAGCTCGTCTCACCTGGACGCTCAGTAACCGACAGGTAACTACCGGAATTCATCACTTTTCTCCCGTTAAAGGAGGCAACGCTCTGAGAGGCCTAGTTGAGCTACAACACGAACAGTTTCCGAGTCTGCAGTCCTTCGTTTCGTTTGTTCACCTCGGAGGTGGTTTCACCTGTCAGCAGCAGCAGAAGAAGACTCACCGGAGCAGGAGACACACCGGTCCGACAGGTGGAGCAGGTGGAGCCGCATTCCGCTGAGAGAGGTCGTCCGTCCGCCTGTGGTGGTGTGAAGCTGTGGTATTGGTACAGGATGTCGGATTAGGAGGGAAATTAAACTTAAATTACTTCAAGGAAAGCGACTCTCGCTTGCACTCTCAGGAAGTTTGTGGTGAGTATTTTTTTTTTATGGCTTTCTTGCAGTTTTCTTCGCTTTACGGTTCAGACAGGGGATTTCCTCCCCACACTCCCATTCATAAGATTTCTAAGCTAATTTATGCACTAAGTGCATAAACCCAGCAAATTCTGATTATTTTCTTATTTGAGGCTGGCAAAAGAGGCTAACAAGAATTTTATATTTATATTATAATAATTTCAGTACATTTAACTGAAACATTTCAGGCCTACAACACATAGTCAGCTACTTATTGTCAACTATATTTAGCAAATAGTTGCATTATAAACTGTCAGAATATTGTACAATAAATAAATAAGAAAAGATTGTCTTTAAATCCACTGTTGTTTTCAATTGTTCAACAAACAATCCAAGACTCCATAATATTCAGTTTATTATCACAGGAGACAAATAAAACCAGCAGTTCCTCCCATTTGAGAAGCTGGATCCAATAAATGTCAGTAATTTGTGTTACAACAAAAATGACTAGTTTCTAGTTTAAATTTAATCCTAAAGCTAAATAATGGTAATGTAATAAACCATAGTCTAATAAATTAAATTTATTGTAACAAAAAAGGGGAAACAAGCAGCGACTGTGCTCCTAACCTGGAGAACAATCCAAAGCTTGACTCATTTTTGTCTTTTGTTTTTCAGCTGCTCTTGTTTAAGATGACTCAATTGTTTTTTAAAAGCTTTAAATTGTGTTTTTATGAGTTTACCAACTTTGCATTTTTGACATTTCTTATGTGTGTTCTTTTATTCTTTTATCCTCGTACTCGACTACATTATATACGAGGCTTTCATACCTCAATGTGCTCTTTAAATCAAAGTGGAATGAATAAATGAATGAATTAAAAGGCAGGGAAAAGCATGTTTTTGATATTATTTGGTATTACAATGACTTCAGGTTAATTTTCCATTGATAGATTATTGAACTGATCTTTTCAGCTCTAATGCTTTTTATTCAGGAAAGTATCTGAGGTGGATTTCTGGCATTTTGGGAATGCAAGCTAACGTACCGGCTCTATACTCCAGATATATAGTCAGTGTTTTATTGTGGGTGTCAAATAAGTCAGAAAAACTCAGATCTGCTTCCACACTTTGTAGCGTTTTTGTGTTGGACTGCAATATACTGAAGGATGTTTGCACTGCGACGTATTTGTCTGTTTCAAGTACGTAAAACAATGCTGTTCCATTTTCTCAGAAGGACTGTCGTGTGACTCACCTGCAGCTAATGTGCATTGCCATCGTTCTTGTCCTGTCTAAATAATGGCAGAGATGCTTAACATGTTAATAGATGAGGTGTCTCTCCTGGTATTCAGAGCACTCTCAGGTCTGAAAGAAGCACAATTCCTCGACAGTTATGTTGCATTCAGGGTCAAGAAGGTCATCCAGCTGTTTTAAATAGGATTATGGTGAGTTTTAAGATTGAGCAGCTTTGTGATTCTTTATTTCCATCTGCTTTAGCGGTCCGCATCAACATTTTTCTACATTTTCATGTAAGAAAATGAAAATACAAACTTGAAGGTAAAAACTGGAAAGAAATGTGATGATTTATCTATTGCAACAAAAACCTTAACTCAGCTTCTCAAACATGAATATCTCCTGCTTTTCTTTGACTCCTCTAATAGTAATCCCAATATTTTAGGTTTAGCTTGTGGATATTCTGATATTTTCATTACCAAATTCTATTTTTATTTGATCCAGGAAGTAGCAGCCACAGTATTTAATAAAGGGAATCATTGTCAGTAAGAAACAATAAGTCATTACATATTAAAAATTGTGCCTTTTTGTAGACCAATTGTGTTATAAAATAAAATGCTATTTCTCTTTTTTAGATGCCCCACTCCTATTTTTGTCCCGCTGAAGCTGTTTTGGTCCGGATGTAAGAACACAAACTGCGTAGGCCACATCGATACTTTCTGTTCCTCAGGGAGCCGAGTTCAGCCGGAACAGTCTCATGTGACATAATCCTGGTGTAACAGGATAAAATACAGCCCTGCTCAGACTACACCTGTGTTTAAAGTACCTAATCTGTGCTATACCCCAGATATATTCCAGCCTAGTCATGTTTATACGCCTTAGTATTATTTGGACTGTGCTATTTTAGACCTGCCGAGGCCAGATTATCCCCCTCACACTCAGATACACAAATTATTTCAAGGATACACATCTATAACAAATGCAACTTTTCGGAAATATTAAACCTTAGAAAAATGTGTGCAGTATGTGAGCATACAGTAATTGGAAAAAGATCTTTTGTGTGTGCTTTAACAGTCCAGTTTGACAGGATTTTGACGTTTTTTCATGAAATGCTCTCATATGGAAACTTTGAAAAATTCAATGTCTTGGTCACAGCAAAGGGGAGGTAAAATCAACATTTGGTCAGTAAAATGTGAACATGTTTTTGCTATTTTTCCCTTGTAAGTCCATATTTATGTGTCGCGATGACAATACTCCCGATTCTGGATTATGGCGACATCATTTACAAAATGGCCCCAAGCGCCGTGCTCAAAAAACTGGACACTCTTTATCACTCAGCCATCCGCTTTGCCACTAATGCACCCTTCCATACTCACCACTGCGACCTCTCTAAATTGGTGAGGTAGTCCTCCCTTCATACTCGGCTGCTTCACCACTGGTTTCATTTCGTTTACATGTCAATTCTGTCCAAGACACCTCCCTACCTGTCCCTTCTTCTTCACGTCACACATAATCCTTATCATACTAGGTCTAGTGAACACATCAAGCTCACTTCTACTATTTTTGGCCGTTACTCCTTTCGCTTTGCAGCAGCTAATGACTGCAGCACCTTACAAAACACCCTCAAACATGTACCTCTGACTCCACTCACCACCTTCAAGCTTCAAGTCCAATAGATTGTAGTTGACCGTTGCTCCTGCTGATCACACTGGACTTTACTTTTACTTATACTTATATCTACACGCACACTTTCTTACACCTCATGCACATCTTGTCTCGCTCACATGCACATGCTCCCATGCTTCTTACTTGTTTACTTTTGTTCTATGTTATGTTTATGTGTCTATTTGTGTCTGTAATTTACACGTGTATTTGTTCCTGTTGGCGCCTCTTGTCCAGGTCATGTTTGCAAATGGGAACTGGTTTTCACACAATTTTACCTGGTAAAATAAGGTCAAATAAAAATGAAAACATAGCAACACAGACTACAGAATCATATTTATAACAGCCTTGTTGTAATTAACCAATAATCTTGTCACAAAGAATGCAGCGCCCCGATGGTATAATTGGCCAAAATGCCAGAGTTTCATTTGATATTGATCTTCTGTGCTGCAGCAGCATTTGTTGTTTGTACTTGTGGTGGAAATGAGCAATAGTGTAGTTTGGCCTAAGCCACAATAAAGCAGGCTAGGCTGGTTTATAATCTGGAATATAATAATCTGGTCTGCTATACCTGTGTAGCAGTTTATAGCAGTAAAAAACGAATCATGTGTTTTGCTTCAAATTACTATTAAAAATGTGAATTTCTTCAAAACAAAACCTAAACTCATGACAATATTTATATATAAGTCAGTTATTATTAGGAACTAATGTGTTCATGTAGTCACATTTCACATTTTTACAGAGTTATTTGACCCGTTCCTGATTTAAAGGTGACATTATTTCCATTTAGGGCTGCAGGGTGGCGCAGTTGGTAGCACTGTTGCCTCGCAGCAAAAAGGTTGCCGATTCGCGTCCCGGTGGGGGCACCGGAATCTTTCTGCGTGGAGTTTGCATTCTCTCCCAGTGCAGCGTGGGTTCTCTCCGGGTTCTCCAGCTTCCTCCCACACAGTCCAAAAACATGTTGAGGTTAACTGGTGATTCAAAATTGTCTGTAGGTGTGAGTGTGCTTGGTTGTCTGTCTCTAAGTGTAGCCCTGCGGTAGACTGGTGACCTGTCCAGGGTGTCCCCTGCCTTCACCCTAAGTTGCCTGGAATAGGCTTCAGCCCCCCCGCGACCCTAGTGAGGATTAAGCAGTGTATAGATAATGGATGGATGGATTATTTCCATTTAGCACCAAATAACACAGTTCTTTCCAGGAAACTGCATGAAATGTTCAGAAAGACACTACAGACCAGTAAAACTTCTTCTTTTAAATGTTTGATCTAAAGTTATACATTTACTGACAGTCTGTGTGTTTTTTTTCCCCCTCACCTAGCCCTCTGTCACCATGGCGACGCAGGTGCTGATCTCACCTGCTGTGTCGGCGTTTGTCTCCACTGTGGCGTCGCTGCTCAGTTTGACTTTGCTGCTGCTGCTGTGTGTCATCAGGAAGAAAAGACGGATGGAGGGAACCTACAGGCCCAGCGCCGAGGAGAAGAAACAGACAGGAGGGGGCGGTTGTGAAAAACCCGGCCTGCCGCTGCCGTTGCCCAAAGAGGAACGTCTCATTTAGTCAAAGCGGCCTTGCGTGCTTTTTACCGTCACTTTGTGAAGCTGTGGATGGATAACTCCTGTTTTCTGATGTCCCTGTGCTGCTGTGGGATCATCCATGTTTGTCTTTTGCACCGGACTGATCGACTCTGTCGCTCCAGGAAGAAAGGAGCTATTTAACATGAGGTCTGCTCACTGGTATTATCCAAACAAGTCACTTCTTTTATTCTGTCACATGAGGAACATTGTCTGAAGTATATTTTGTATTTGTGTGCAGGTTAGCATGTTTTTCACTGCAATGTGTGTTCTGTGTATTTATGTAAAGATATATCTTTTTACACCCTCTCCAACTATGAAGAATATTGATTAAAAACACTGATAACTGTGATGCACTTTTATATCAAGTTCTGAGAAGCACATTTTCATAGAAAACATAAAAAAAAATAAAAAAAATGTTTGTATGGTACACAAGGTGTTACGTGAATAAACCGACAAATGTCTACACCAAGTGCCACAGCTCTGTTTTTCCAGCATCTTAAAATTAAGGGAGAAAAAGCTTCAAAATGTTTAGTTTATTAGGTTATTTATTCAGATTCTATGTGAACAGTTACCAAAAGTGTAACAATTGTCCTCAGAATGTGTCAGTTTTTGTCGAAACGTATCTCTCAAACACTTAGACGTTTGTATTTCAGTAGGTAATGAGTAAAACATTCATTGTCCTCACTGGCACAGATTTTGTTTTATTTCAGTCATTTGTTCCTAGCGCTCTTAATTCTAAGTGCATGTCACCATTTTATTAGTCAAACAGTATTCAGAGAAACATCAAAATCTGTATAAATATTGCAAAAATGACCCCTAAAAGAAGTCTGGCGATATTCTGTGTTTGTTATTGTCAAGAAATACTGCAGAAAAAAGAGAATTGTTAAAAACATGAATGAGCATCACTGGGGAACACGTTTGTTAATTACCGTGGGAAAATACTGTAGTTTGTTATGACTCCGTCCTGCTGCCATTAATACTCACAAGAGCACCAAATCTTAAAAAATATCCCCCTGATAAATGCTGAAATAGGAATTGACTGAGCCCTTCTTTAAAATGAAGCAATATAGCTGTGACCGGTTTTAAATATTTATAACCTCAACAGGAACACACAGAGTCACAGATGCGCAGGAGAAATGTGGAGGCACATACATCACTTCAGTCTTTTCATAGAATTTGTTGACATTAACAAACAACTGGAAGCAGCCTCGTCCTTTAAGCCTCGAATCTCTTCTTCAGTTCAGACACTTTGATTGCAGGCCGTTCCTCTTCTTCAGGTGCCTCCGAGCGGTTGTTTGTGTGGGGTAAGTCACACGGCAGGTGAGTTTGTGCGCCCTCCCTGCTTCGAAATACGCTGGAAGGTGTCGGAGGTTCAGACAAGGCCTTGGTCCTGGACTTCACCTGGAAGCTTGGGCTGGACGCTTGAGACTGGAAGCGCTCCACAGCAGATTGCACTTTAGGAGGAGAGCGGATCTGTCGTACCTCTTGCTCCTCTGTTCTTGCTGCTTCTTCGCTCTTTCGTTCCTGACCTGCTGGAGGTTTAAGGTCAGCAGCGAGCCTCTGAGGCTCAGGAGGGACTGTAGTTTCTGGATTTGCCTCATGTCGTTGCTGCTCCTCCACAGAGCTGGGATTCAGTTTAACAAGTTTGTGTAAAGAGTCTCCCACTTCTTTGCTTTTCTTCTCCTGGATCTCTTCTTCTCTTGACACAATCTTTTGCATTTCACTTGTTCCTCTGTCCGTCTCTTGTCCCACAGCTTCTTCCAAACTTTCGTTCTCTCGTTTCTCAGCCATTTCACTTACAGGGTCCTCGCCTAAACTCACTTTCTTTTCCTGATCTTTTTCTCTCGCTTCTTCTGATTTTACTTCCTTAATGTTATTCTTGTCATCTATTTCTTTTCGGTTCCCATTTATTGCTACCTTCACTTCTTCCCGTTCCTCTCCGTCCTGCCTCTGCCCCCTTTCTTGCTCTTCTTTCTCACATGCTGTCAGCAGACTCTCTGTCCTGTCTTCCTCTGGTACGCTGGTGTCCAGGCACAGCCAGTCAGAGTCCTCAGTCAGGTCTGACAATTCCTCTGTTGTTTCCAGATTCCAGCTGTGCAGGCTTTCACTGCCGCTCATGGACAGAGACAGGCTCTCCTGGCTGGGGTTGGCTGGACCGTGCTGGAAAACACAGACTCAGATTAGAAATTGCATTAAATGTGATGCATATTTTTACGTGTGTGTGTGTGTTTGTGTCCCCTCCTCATTTCCTTACCTTCATGATAAAGTCGTGGCTGTCTGGTCCAAACAGATCCAGGCTGCGAGTGCCGTACAGAAGGCCACGCTCGTGGGAGCTCCGGGAGCTGAGTGTGTCAAAGATCTCCCCAAGAAGATCCATCTCCTCTGGGTCACACAGCAGTGAATCTTCCCCTTCTTCTTCATCATCCTTCAGGTCAGAGTCATCCTCGACCACAGGCCCGGGCACAGGTCTGACACCAAACAAATGACAAGCAAAATAGCACAAACAAGAAAAAATACATTTTCTTTAGGTCTCTGTATCTCATACACAACAATGGAACAAGTACACAGATTCTTTAAGTAAGAGTTGCAGTAATTCAATGTAAATCTGCAAATTCTGCATTCTTAAATAGTAGTATATTAGGATTATTATCAAATACGCTAAAAATACAGAAGCTAAAAGCCCTATTATGAAGCATGACTCAGTCGGTACATTTAAACTACTTAAAAATCAAGTATAAAATAGTTAAGATGAATATGATAATATAGGAACTATGTTGATGGGTTTTGATTTATGGCAAATAGCTTCTTTTGCTAGCTGTTTGTTTTCTATTAATTAGGCTATAAGCCACATTTAGCACTGCAAATGGAAGGCATTGTTCTTTTAAGAAGAAAGAAAAAAAATCTTAATGCACACTGAACCTTTCGTTCCGCTGTGGTGCATCAGAGGCCAGTTAGTTTAAAGTTTGAGATGCTTACAAAGGACAAATAGTCACAACAGGTAATATGAGAGAACACCCTATGTGCTGTAGGTTTAATTTAAATTGCTGTTTGACCATGAAGCCCCAAGAAACAACCTATAACGACAACGTAAATACACACCTCAACCAAGTCACTGGTCATTTAAAGGCACCAACATAGCATGATGCTGCCACCACCATACCTCACAGTAGACTGCTATCAGTTGATGAGTAGTAATGAGCAGTACCTGGTGTTCTCCAGACATAATGCGCAGAACTTTGCCTAAAGACTTGATTTTATCATGCCAAAGAATCAGACCAAAAAGTCTGTACTTTCAGAGCCCTTTAAAAGCCCTTTCATAAACTCAAAATAGGCTGTCCTGTTTGTTTTACTCAAAGTGGCCGCCATTTAGCTGTTCAGCCATAAAGATTGGATTGATAATTGCTGTTGAGATGGTCTTCCTTGCAGCAGCTTCTACCATCTCTGCAAAGGACTTCTAAAGCTCTGTTGAAGTGACTGTTGGATTCTTGGTCACCAAGGATTTACTTGCTTGTTTACCAAAAAGGCTGGACGACCAACTCTGGGAAGAGCCCATACTTCAGTTTTACGATTATTGAGGTCATGGTGCTCATCAGAGCTTGAAATGGTTTAATGCTTTTGGCCTGATGTCCGGCTGTCCACAATTATATTACAGTGGTATGCACAGAGTTCTGGGGGACTTCATGCTTTGGCTTTCATCCTTAATTGTTTGAACTTTTATATAGTACCTTTCTAAATTATGCCCAGTCAGCTTAGTTTGCAATAGGTGGACTCTATTAAACTTCTAGAGAGGTTCTCAATGATAAAATAAACAGGCTGCACCTGACAACCATTCGGAGGATCTGAATACTTTTGGAAACTAGAGAGTTCGGTTTGATTTTTGATAGACTGAACGGCTAAAATGCCAATTTTATCTATTTGAAACGAAATACACAGAATAGAAAAATGTACAAAAAGTGAAGGGTTCTAAATACTATCTGCAAAACAAAATCCTGATCTGAAAAAGTAGCTGGTAACTGTGGCTGTCAGATAAATAAAACTGAGTAAACAAGAACTCTATTTTCTTTAGAAATGTATCGAGTAGACGAAAATAAAAATACTCAGGTAAAGTACAAGTACCTTAAAGTGTACTAAAGTACAATACTTGAATAAAAGTACTCAGTAACTTTCCATCTCTGCTCACCCATCTGATGTGTCTCCAGTGTCCTTCATGTTTTCCTTGTCTCTGGGAGTCTGTTTGTGAACAGGCCGACGGGGACGTGACTGACATGAGGCAGCACAGTAGCAAAGCAAAGGTACAGCAGCCAACAAAATTGCGACAAATGTTTTTAGAGATACACAAGCAACAGAAATGAAGCAATAAAAGATACAAGATAGCACAAACAAGCATAATAGGGCAGTAGAATATGCAGACAGACCATGATGAGGATATATGTGAATTGTTTGTTTCGATTAATGAGACATTGAAATTAAAGAGACTTGCATGAAAATGGAATGTGGGTTGTCACCTTTCCAAAGTGCTGTGTGATTGGTAGTCGGTTCTGTAAGCAGTCAGATTGGACACGACGGTGTGTTATCGAGCCACCTCTCTGCAGGGTGTATTCTTCTTGATGGACCTGCATTAGACCCACAAGGACAAAGTATTAGAGCGCAGCAGAGGTGGTATGAATCAAAGCATGTACCCACATAAACACAAACCCACCTTGTGCATCAGCAGGTTTTTCAAACCGGACTTGGTGAGACCTTTGGCCTAGTAGAGAATATGAAAACAGATCAGTAACAGAATCCACCTGTGCAGCACAAACATCTCCTTCTTTGAGCAAAAAGTCTGTACTCACCCCCATGTTTGCTTTAGACTTCATGGTGAGGATGAAAGCTCCTCCCCCTTTCTGTCAAAGACCAAATGCATTCATATTACATTTTATTATTTTTTTAAACAAGATGGAACAAACTGAATAGTGTTTCATGGAAGATTTAAAAGACTTACCTTTAAATTACCAACTAACTGTTGATAGGATTTGCCTCTTCCTACAAAAACACAGAAATAGAAATGAATAAAGACATGTGGTATAAACAACAGTACACACACACATATAGATACACACCTGCTGCTGTTTCACATTTTATTATCTCCTCTTCAAAGAGGTCATCTAGTTCCTTTCCTTTGTTCAGAATGTCCAAGCGACTATCAATAAACTGACAACCGAGCAAAAGACAAACAAACAAAAACAAATTTTGGTCAGTTTTTTTATTAATTTAAAAGACAAAAATCTCACTCATTTGCAGTAACATGAGGATGGCTTTCTCCCGCTGACTAAGATTAAACTTATTAACATACAATTATGTGGGTTAAGTCATGCAAAACATTTAAAACACCAGGTCTAAAATAAAAACACAGATCAGCAGCAACACCTGCATTATAAATCTGCATGTGTCCAGCAGAGGGCACTGCTTACCTGTTTAAAGAACTGTAAATGAACCGCACTCTGCAGGAACTGCTTCATACTGGAAGACTTGTGATCTAAAAACAGTGTTTCGCAGAAACATATTTCATCTTCCTGCAATGAGAAACAGACAGCGAAAGCAATGGGCTTAGCAAAATACGAATTAGTCCCGAATATAGACACAGATCTAGAGTCTTAATCAAGCAGGCAAGTAGAGCTGCAGCTTACAAACACTTTAAATCATTGAAATAACACCAAAGAGGATTTCCAACAAGAATCCTTTCAGCTTTTAAATGCTTGAAAAAGAGCAAATAATACTATTAATCTTTTCCTCCACTGTTGTTATTTGACATTTTTTAAAAGCACGCCACAAGTCTTTCCTTAAGTAACCGACCTCGTGACCTTGCAGTGCATCCCTGTAGCCTCCAAACAGCAAAGCCTGAGCTCTGAGGAAGGCCCGAGAGACACCACAGCCGGGTGACACCGCCTGACGCTTCAAACACACCTTCAGCCCGGACATCTGGACACATGTTTACATTCATATCCGTGACACTGCTCAGTAATAACGAGTAAAACCACGGTACACAATGAAGAGAAGAGGAGTGCATAAGATGATCAAACCTTTTGTCACTTTATCACGTTGCTCATAGTGTAGTGCATATGTGAGAAGAGGAAGCTAGCAAATGTCATTAGATGTGTTGATATCACTAACATTACAGGGACACAAAAAAATCATTACAGGAACTTAAGAGTGTAGCAGGGTCTAAATCTGGTTCCTCTGCCACAGTTCTTGCCCCAAAACTGTCCCAGCTTAGGAGTAATACTTTCTGATTCCCAGGAACCATCAGGAACAGTGTAAAGTCATGACAGATTGGGTACAAATGTCATGCTGCTGTGAATTTAATCGCATCATTTATCAAAAACGTCTCTCATTTCCCTTATCTTTTTACAATCTATAAGGACATTTTCATGTTTTATTTAACAAGATTATTTTATGGGGTTCCACAGGACATCATAACACCTGGACCCCCGTAACCAACACCACCTCCTTATTCAGTGACACAGACACACTTCTCAACAAAGAGGCTAATGTATCGTCGCACAAACCCACACAAAGAGTATTTATTACCACATCTGAAGGTATCCTCTTAAGGTCGTCAAACGGGGTTTCCAGCGTGTTTGTATCCACATTAAGAATTACAACTTCCTCCAACCCACGACTCCTCACCTTCTGTCAGACAGACGCAGAGAGTTTGATCAGAGGTCAATGTCTGGCTATGAAGCGGATTCATAGGATTTATAGTTTTTGAGTGAGTTTATAGTTTTAATTAGCAGTTTACCTCAGACAGGCTGGTGTGGACCCCTATTAGGTAAGGCATGGGTGCACTGGAACCAAAAATTGAGAAACTGTTGTTAGTGGATGATAGATAGATAGATAGATAGATAGATAGATAGATAGATAGATAGATAGATAGATAGATAGATAGATAGATAGATAGATAGATAGATAGATAGAT